GGGGGGCATTGGCAGAGCTGGGGGGGGGCCAGGGCCAGGCTGGCAGGGGCTGCAGGTCGGGAGTGAGGGGTACCGGTGGGGCTGTGGGTCAGGGAGTGAGGGGCACCGTCAGAGTTTTTTTATGGGGGGGAGCCGGGGCCCTACCCCACACGGTTGGTGGGGGGGGGGCGTGGATGACATCACCAGCCCAGCCATTACTATTTCAGTGTTGTCCTTCCCCCCTGCAAGCCCCCGGGAGCGCTGAGCCGGGAGGGGGCGGGGGGGGCAGGATCCTTTCCAGGCGCACTTTGATGCCCGCAGCGGCTGGCATCCGACAACCCGGCCTCAGCTCCCAACGCAGAGATGCAGCCAGCTCTGGGGCAGGGCGGCTGGGGACCAGCCACATATAACACCCTGCGGGGACGGCTCGCCTGGCGCTGAGACGCAGCCACCTCTGGGGCGGGGCAATGGGGGAACCTGGAATTGCCCCAGGACGCCTGGGTTCCTGCCCGGACTGGGGCTTCGGGGCACAGGGTGGAGGAATTTAAGGACAAACAAGATTTGGGCATTTCCCGCCCCATGGTGTCTGCCCGGCCCTGCACCCCAGCCCTCTAGTGCCCCCCACTGATCCCCTCCCAGGCCCTTGCCCCACGGCGCCCCCCAGCACTGCCAGGGGAGAGCGGCCCCCGCCCCACGCTGACGGGAGACGAGCCGCCACTGCAGAGTCCACGTCTTTATTGTCTCCGTAATTAACCGCGGTTCACGTCACCGACACATTAAAGGGCCCCGGAGCCGGGCCGGGAAAGTGCAATTAGATATCGTCCAGGCCCCCGCCCCCCGCAAGCCATATCCACACAGCATCGTCCTCGCGCCCACGTCGTGCAGAGGAGATGGGGGGGGGGGGGGAGTGTGCATTGGGACACATGCGGGGGTCTGGGGGGCAGGAAAGGGGGTCAGAGCAAACCCAGGGCAGAACATGATGGGTAAAGGAGCTAATACCCCATAGGGGGGGGATGAATAGGTGCCCCTTGACTCCCCACCTGCAGCCCCCTGCCCTGCCGGTGCCCCTCACTCCCGACCCGCAGCCCCTGCGTAACTGGGCTGCGGTTCCCCCTCCCGCCAGCGGAAGCAGCACTATGAAATCTCACCTCTTTCCCCTGCTTCTTAAAGGGCCAGTTACTCGCCCCCCCAACATCCTCTAGCCCAGAATAAAGTCTGGGGGTGGGGGGTGGCATGAAGTGCACCAGGGCTGGGAGAAGTTGGGGGCAGGGAGGAGCAGACGGGGGGCACAGTGCGGGGGGATTGGAGGGGCTGGGGCAGAGCTCGGGGGGGGGTAGCTACCCAGTAC